TCAATTCACTTTCTCTATAATCTATACTTTAGTTCAGTGAATATTCATTAAAATTATGTATAATATAATCTTATCAATATACAGTCATAAATCGTTTCCTTAAAACAAATATAGCCGTACAGCTAATGATATTTACCATATTTATCATAGGCAATATTAAGTAATTGTAAAGTTTAATTAAAAATTAGATATTAAAATAAATTTTTTTCTCCCAACAAAAAGTAAGAAATACAGTTGAATTTTTAAAGATTTATTAATATACTAAACAAATGAATAATTTAATTTGTGGGGACTATTACAAATTTTGGCTTGGGGGGCTAATCCCCCACCTAGTTTCGCTTATGTGGAGTATGCAGTATGCACTAATTGGGATGAGCTAAAATGTATTATGACTTGTGGACAATATCGAACACTTCAGTAATGTACCTATTTTGCCTATACAATTCGCCGGACAAAACATTTTGTTTGTGCAAACAATTTAAAACAATTTATTAAGAATATTATATTATCAACTAGCTATATTACCCGGCGTTCCAAGGCGGATATCATTGGCAATGTCTATTATTTTCTGCTCTAACTTTTGAGTTGATTTTTTAAATATCTGTTAACTATAATATGTATTAACTGCTCTCTATAAGCAATAATCACTAATCATCTATTATTACCTTTCCATTTAATTGCATTTAGTTTTATTGGTTTATAGTTCAAAATTGACTTCGGCCTCCAGCTTGAAAAACAATAAAAATGTTATTTGTTTCATAAAATTAATTTTACTACGATAGCCTGTGGACTTATCTATAGAAACATTTAATTTTGACAATCTTAAAAAATGTCAAGCATTTTTATACATTTTCTAATACACTAAAGCAATGGGGATAGATCATATCGTTTAGTTTGTTTTAATGTAGGTATTATAGTATTTGGTTTGTACAAATTGACTGCCGTGTACCAAACTAAATGTTTGTGTATTATATAATTACCTTTGAATGTGTTAAATTTGAATTCAATAAATAAATCATTGCATACGAGCTAATTACGAGGTACCATTCTGAGCGGTCGAGCGGAGATGGTGTTTGACGCACTGACTCGTAAGACTATTGTGTATTCCTGTAACGATATTTTTTAATTTATTAATAAACTATTTTTTTATTACTTAACTTTAGTAGGTACTAGGTTGGACAAATGTTTACCAAAAACATCGCATTTATTATGGTACAAATAATTATAATGTTAGGTATATCATGTATTATTGTAATTTAATACTATAATAAATTAGTTATAGGTACGAGTCAATGCCGACGTATTGTAGACATAACGTGGACGAGTGTAATTGTGTGAATATGTTCGTGGTGTAATGATAATATTATTCTGTAATAAGTTCCTAAATTTCAATAAAAAAAACAAGTAACAGCCCTGCTACGTATTATGTACCTACAACACTGACGCAATGCAGTCTCGCAACAGGAGGGCAATGCGTATTCACAATGCCGTGTGCCCACACCGCAGACTTCTATAATATACTACGTGATATATAGAAATCTGTGGCCCACACATATACATATACAGGGTGGGCCACGGGAATAGGGACAAAAATAGTCGTGTTTTTCTCAACGATGAATGTGAGTAGGACGGTCTAGATAAGCTCATTCGAATGCCGTTTCGTTGTCACTATGGAGGATTGGATAGTGTGTCGTTCATAGGCGGACATTTGGTTGAATTTTTAGGGGGGCTATAATAATTCACTGGAAAGTGAACCCCGCACCCCTACACGGCTACACACAAGTATAACAAATTACTAAACCAAATATTTATTTTAAGTTGTAATAAAAAAAATACTAAATAACGTATATTAAACAATAATTTATATTTTATTTTATTTTAATACTAAATATCTATTTTTATCAGCAAAGATATTTAAAATATCATTACTATTAATATTTTTGACCCACCCTACCGATGACACGGCGTCTATCGGATATTCACGTTTGTAAATTCAATTCGGTCGGTCGCTGGTGGCGCTGGATTTAATTTTTCTTAAATAAACAGATGGCCATTTTCTATGATTTTTAATGGTAGCTTCTTAGAGGCATTGTTTTATTAATTTTTCTTATTTTTATTAAGTTAGAGGCATTTGTTGGTTAAATACTATTTTACAATTTTCAAAAAAAATAACAGATTATTATTAAAACAATAATAATAACTTTTCGATTTTGGGGGCTATTGAAATATTTAGGGGGGCTAAGCCCCCCCCCCCCCGATGTACGCCTATGGTGTCGTTCGCCTTGTGTTTGTTTACGACGCGTTTGTAAAAAAAACAATGAATCCCGGTAGTTAAGGTGCAGCGCGCATTCAGACGGTAAGACTCCGTATTCTCGGGAGTTCTTACAGCACGTTTGGGACCATTTGTTTTTTTTTTATTAACTTTCCCACTATCTACCCACCTCATAATTGTTTTCCCATTGTGAGCAGCACCAATACCTACGACGCTGAAGTGAAGTCTGAATGCGCGCTGCACCTTAACTACCGGTTCATATTGTTTTTCACAAACGTGTTTTCGCAAACACACGGTTAACGACACTCCAACGCTCCATAGTGACAACGAAACGGCATTATCTGACGGATCGAATGAGCTTATCTAGAACTTCCTACTCACATTAAACGTTGAGAAAAACCTGTCTATTTTTGTCCCTATTCCCGTGGCCCACCCTGTATGTCGTTAGAGCGAAACCGCAGAACCCTTTGTTTGAGCCTCCTACCACTCTCTGGCCAGTGGCATCGTCCTGCAATCAGCGCTAGTGTATACCATCCACGGCAAAATACATCTATCTATTTTGTTATTGCACCATAGCACATGCGCACCACCCACACCCCTAAGAACCGGTCACTATAGAGTCCTTATCGTGTATACGACAACCTGAGGGCTTCTTTTACCGAGCAGTGCGTTTTTCTTTCGATTCGCGTAGACGCGTTATCTATTCCTACTGCTTCGTAGTCCTCGTGGGCAGTGGACTTGGTAAGTTTGCACGTTTTTATAGGATATTTTAGCGTAGTGTATATTTTGTTCAGTGATCGAATATTCAACCTCGAGGACACTCTGCAGATCAGGAGGTAATTACGTAAACTCGATTATCTGATGAGTGATGACTGGCATGAGTACCTACTTATTAGTGTAATCAATGTAGGGCATTTATTCAGATATCTTAAAATCTTATAGTTCAGTAATTTTTACAGTGGTATAAATACCTTAAAAATTGGTCTAATATTTAATTACAATTAGAATAAGAAAAATTATAATATATATTATTAAGTAAATATGTGATGGCACTGAAGTATCAGTAGTCTCTTCACAATTGACTTATGAATTAGAGCATAATTAAAATAATTTCATGAAAAATCATTGCGCTCATTGCTCATAAAATATTGATTTAACTTTATGTAAAATTATTTTTTAGAATTCCATTGAGGATGACTTATAATTAGAGACAGGATTTTTTTATGTTTTTACATATATTTACTGAGAGTATGCAGCTCCAATTGGATAAGCTCTCTCGCAGATTCATTTACCTATGAACTGATATACAATAATTTTTAGCCCATAAAAAAGAATATTTTGTGTATAAAACATGTCATAGGAATATATTGCCATATTGGGTTCAAATTAGAATATTTTATAAAAATCTATTAGATAATAAAATTGTTTTATTTTTATTATTTAATACTTGTTATTGTTATTTATAAGACTGAATTATCTAAGTTTGAGTTATTTTAAAATATAATATTATTCTGTTGTTGAACTATGTGCAATCATTATTTTATTTTTAATATTATTATTTTTTGAATTCATAAGGCTGAATTATTTAAGTTTAAGTTTAAATACATAATATTATTCTGTTAACGAACTATATGCAATCATTTTTTATTTTTGTATTATTATTTTTTGAATTCATAAGTTTGTGTTACAACAGCTAAATATAGGTACACCAGTATGGCAGTATATCACCATATTATAGATTAAATATAACTGTTTATTTTTATAAAATGTTACTTTTATTTGTTTTTTCAGTGTTTAATACATTTTTATGAATAAGAATATTTTTGCATATAAAAGATAATTTTGACGAAATTATAGAGCATAGAAGCATCTTATTTTCAAGATTTTAAGCGCATATAAATCCGGTCTCTACTTATAATACTTAATAATTAAGCATTTGACCTACAAACATAATACTTATTTAATGTAAAATGTTTGTACATAGCTAAATATTTTGAGAATTATATCTTGTCTAGAAAATACTATATTTGTGGAATCATAAATATATTTGGTGGAATTTAAATTCTCTACTATAATATACTAGAATTCCTTCTAAATAATATAACAAAAATACAAAATCAATTTTTTCCAACACCGATGTTAGGCAAAGATAGATATTCTTGTGTTTATTTAATCTAATATACCAACAAGAATACAATATTACATTTGCCACATGAAACTATTCTCAAAATTGAAAACCTAATTATATTATTCTGCTCCAAAAAGTTTTGTCAGATACAAAAATAATATTTAAAAAAACCACCTCAAATCAATATATTTTGGTTTTGCACAGAATCTAAAATAAAATAATTTTTAGTGTTAAAATTCTGTGAAATTGGCAGTTTTTTTAAAATGTATTTATTCAATGTCACAAAAAATAAATAATTAAATAATAATACAGCAATAACAATACCAATATAATTTGTATATTAATGAATTAAACAACAATTTACACGATAAAACTTGACACTAATCTACAACAAAGAAAAAAATTCACTCAAAATATTAACTTAAAATATGTAGACTCAAAATGAAATAATTGTGTATTGAACCTAAACTATTTATAGATGGGATGGTTATCATTTATGCAATTAAATAGTTACCAAATGGAATGAGAAAAAATATTTCAAATAGAATGTATTATTTTTGTTTTTAAAACGCATATTATTGCTGTAGGGATTTATTGCGATTATTCAGCGAATTTTCGGTTTGGATTGCGGCCGAACAATGCAGTTCGTACAGCTGGTACCAACTGCTGAGCAATCAGTTCCAATCGCGATTCCAGTGTGTTACAAATTTTTATTTTATTCTTATGTGCCAACAACTCAATACCACCACACGTTTGAGCGGATAAAAATGAATCTGTATCCAATTTCAGTAGTACATCCTTATTGGATGCTGTCTTATACTCGGCTGCCACTTCTTCCACTAATTCTTCCACAACTGATAAATCAACTTCACGAACACGTAATGTGACATTTTTCTCCAACAACTAAATCAAACAGTAACAAACATTATTTTCAAATAATATCATAATATTATTAGTATATTCAACAATATAAAAAATTGATATTTTAATAGATAAACAATTATTATAATTAAATAAAAATTTGGTATTAATACATTTAAAAATATATATATAGCCTGAAGGTACCTTCAAATAAATAAAAAATATATAATTATAAAGATGTTACCCCCTCATGTATTGTCACCGTCTTATTAAAGCATAACAAGCCAAATTTAACTTTAAGTGGACATTACACCACCATTTGTTGTCTCCACCTTACAAGTACATAACATAGCAACTCGTACGCTCAGTTGAACACCTATAGCTCCATTAGTTTAACAATTTGAGTGAATTGACCCCTTATAACAGTGGCGTGTAGAACATTTTTTGTATGTGAGGCCCAATGCATTTTTATTTTTGCTACCACCACTGGCACCACTACTTTTATAAGTACAAACTGTACAATTTACAAGTCCCCTATCTTCCCAACGGTTTGTTATTTGTTAACATTTAATTCTCTATTATGACAAGTCAATTTCATATTATTCTCACGGCCTCACATCAGTACACAACATCACCCACACATTTATGCTGTGGTATAGGTCTCATAAAATTATCTTCACCATGCCATTATTTTTATTTATTAAAGGTAAGATTATTATCTAGGCAATATTATTGGCTTTTTATTAGATTTAAATTTTAAAGGGAGTTAGGAGTATTTTAAGAAGCACAAACAATTTAAAATTTTAAAATACTCATAACTTGCTTTAAAATTTAAATATAATAAAAAGCCCATGAGATTGCCTAGACAATAATCTTACCTTTAAATTTTATAAGAGGTCAAGCTTGAGGTTAAGTCACTCAAATTTTTAAACTTACATAGGTAAACGTGTGCGGCTGAGAATACAATTTTCTATGTTACGCACTAGTCAGACTGAGACAACAAATGTCAGTGTAACGTCCTCTTAAGAATACATTTTGCTTTGTTATTATTTTAATACTATAGTGAATTGACCTAATATAAAATGTACAGGGGAAAATATTATCTAGAGCTCTTATGGTTTTTTTTAAAATTTTTTATTTTGTAGAAAGTTATGATCGTTTTAAAATTTACTATAAAAACTAACACACAAAAATAATAGGTATTAAGGTGCCTATTAAAAATCATGACAATGTGTATAACATTTAGTATATATATCAAAAATAAATAAATGTAGTCATTTTTAAATGTATTGTCTAATGCAAGGACAATTTATTTATTTGCATACCTACATAGTATATTACTATTGATATTTGTCTAACCTGTAAGATTGCTTGCAATATTAATTTTCTAAGAACTTCTCTGTACAAATCAGGGTTATTTGTCACTTTGACCAGACGCTTTCTTGCTTCATCTAATACATCACTGACATGATCTTCTCGCACTTTTAATGTCTGAAGACGTGCTTGATTTAACATATTAGAAGATTGACTAAAAATTTTTTTAATTAAACAATTGTTAAAACACTATATTAGTATATTACACTAGGTCCAATCATTCATAATATATATATTAAAATTGAATCCATAATCAAATAAAAAATTGTGTTCACCGGTTTATTTAAGCATTTCTTTCAAACTTTTTCTTGAACCACACTTGTTAAGAGGAATGCTCTACCCATGCATTTGGTGTATCCGTCTTACACACATACGACATACCAAATTTTTTTTCACTAGTTCTAATAGTGTGTTGTTAGTTTTAATATTAAAATTAATTCATCTAATTATTAAATTTTTAGATAAGAACATTATATTGTATTATTTGTGCTTAAGCGTTGGCTTTTATTTGATATTTTAATTTTTAAGCAAGATATGAGCATTTTTAATTTCTGATATTTCATATCCCTAAATCTTGCTTGAAAATGAAAATATCAAAAATCATAGACGCCTAAGCATAGATAATATTTTCACATAAAAGTTTGATAATTAGTCAATTCACTCAAAAATAACATCACACTATTGAAACTAGAGAACAAACATTTGCTATGTTGTACAAGTGTAAGACGCAGACAACAAATGTATGGGTAGCGTTCACTTAAATGAATGAATAAGATTAGGTGCCACTATTTATTATTATTATTAATAACTTAATTTAGATTTCAGAAATTTCGGTATTTTTACATTTTAAAATTTAATTTTTGGAACAAGTCTAGTTTACCGGGCACATTTTTTTTTTGAAATTTTTTTTTTTGAAAAGGGTTGTTTTGACGAGTTAAGAACGATGGTGCAAAAATAAAATTGCGGAAATGATTATTTTGGAAGTTATAGCTTCCCAAAGTTAACGATTTTACGTTTATACGCGTGCGCGCAACACTACTATAATGCCGCGCGGAGGACCTCGAGTTTGGCGACCGGAGGACTTTTTTAATTGTTTTTATTGTGATGGCATACCCAATTAAATAACTATATTACTATTCTTATTATAATAAAATTATATTATTAATTACCTATATCTTTTATAGATAACCAAATTACCTATAGTTAATTACCTACAGCAAGCAGGGCAGTGATTACACAGTTTGCGACACTCGTCGCTACGCTCCTCGGCGCCGTCGCTCCGCTCCGCAAATCGAAAATATCCCCCGATTTGTTGTGTAAAACCACCTCAGGTGAACCTCGGTTTTCCTCAAAAATTCCCGGAAACTTATCGTTCAAAAGTTATGGAAGTTCCAAGTTGCAGTGATTACGCGTGTATCGGCACTCGTCGCTGCGCTCCTCGGCGCCTTCGCTCCGCTCCGCAAATCCGAAATCGAAAATATCCCCCGACTTGCTATGCAACACCACCTTAAGTAGGTTACAGGGTAAGTTATGTCGTATTATATGGGCAGTGTTACACAGTTGATGGCACTCGTCGCTGCGCTCCTCGGCGCCGTCGCTCCACTCAGAAAATCGAAAATATCCATCGACTTGCTATGCAACAACACCTCAAGTAGTTCACAGGGTAATTAGTAATTACTAATTGTTGTATCAGTTATCATAAAAGATAAAAACAATTAAAAAAGTCCGCCGATCGCCAAACTCGAGGTCCTCCACGCGGCATTATAGTAGTGTTGCGCGCACGCGTATAAACGTAAAATCGTTAACTTTGGGAAGCTATAACTTCCAAAATAATCATTTCCGCAATTTTAATTTTGCACCATCGTTCTTAACTCGTCAAAACAACCCTTTTCAAAAAAAAAAATTTCAAAAAAAAAAGGTGCCCGGTAAACTAGACTTATACCTAATTTTTAATAATTCATCAAAAGATAAAAGAAATTATTTAAATCAGACATCCTTTTTTATTACTGCTCTCTATAGTTTAAAAATAGCTGTTTTACAGTTATACTCCTTCAAAAGAGAATATACCGGTCGACGACTAATTTATGTCCGGCGGCGAGCATTCCCCACCAATTTCCCATTGTTAGCGTGATCCTGTGGTTCTCAACTCACCACTCAAATCATTTGACATGTGTCAAAGCCGTATATTCTTTTTTGAAAAGGAGTATAGGTACTAACAATCTGCAGTAAAAACAATTTATTTTATGCTTTGCATTTTAAAGCTCGATAAAAAAAATAAAAGATTTAGGTATATATATTCATTATGATAATTAGTAACTAGTATATATGGTGGGATAATTAATTGTCGGATGGATAGTTTTTATACGTTTTATTCACACAACTATTGTAACCTTGAAGTGGACAAGGGTGTGTTCAATTTGTAGACAAACACTTCAGAGGCACACTCACATTTTTTTCTGTAACTCCACTTGTTTCTCTTTGCGCTCAAAATACTCCATGATCTTGAGTCGCTGGTGTTGGACCAGACGCCCCTTTTCAATGTTGAATTCTTCTTCGGCTTTGGCGTCGATTTCCTCGGCTTTCTCATTGGCTTCCTGTTCGATGAAGGCCATCATGTGTTTGATCTGTGAAGGGAAAACATAAATCCATGAGTAAAAAGTCTGGGCTGTCATAAAAATACAGGACACAACGTCGAAGAAATGACATGGTAACGATGAAGCGACCGCAAGGTGTCGGTATGTCGTTGTGGACATTGACGGTAACGCAAGGTACTCACTTGTTTTTGGACATCGGCATCGCTGAGCGCCATTTTCGAACCGTGTGCTGGACTTGAAAAATATCGACGAGATGGAAATCCGGAAAATCGGAAAGAGTGTGAAAAAGAATTTGGGAAACGGGCGACGAGCAGCGAAATGGAACAACCAACGCCCAATGGCAAATTAAGTGTAACAGCAGTGCGACGGGTTGGTGGGATAGGGTTTGCGGATGGCGGAGTGGGGCGCCGAGCCGTAGAAGAAGATATCGCCGCGTTATCAGCGCGTTATCGGCGTGACGTCCGGGAAGACGGGAATTTTTCGCGAACGGGACCGCGAAAATTGCCAATTCCACAGGCCACGGGCCGGGTGTCGGGGACAGACGGACTCGAGCTCGACACACGAATTTCCCGGGAACCCGAGGCCGGCGGACCATCGGGCCGTTTTCTCTTCCACGGCCCGTCGCTGGTGCTTTGTTTTGTTCACCAGACGTGTTATTGAGTTTGTCGGCGGCCGAGTAGGTGTACTTATCGTATATCGGTACACACACGCGCACATACCCATACACACACACACACACACTCGTCCCAGCTCGGCCGTTTCGCAAAAGTCTACCTTACGATAACTCTATACGATATTTATATATATATATATTATTGTTATAATACAACACGAGACCGTTGCCGACCCTCACCACCAGGGCATCGTCAATCGTCGTCATCATCATCATCGACACCACCGCCGCCGCCGCCGACACAACTGCAGTTGCTCGAGTCTCGCGTCTAGTCCGCGAGAGTTGTTATAAAACGTTAGCGGTTTCGGCAGCTCTGGTTTTTTTTTCTTTTTTTTTTTTGTCCATCATCTTTTCTTTGCTACACGCCGTCGTGTCCCGACCACTGTCCGCCAAAATCGTTTTTCCACCATAATTGTTATTTATCTTCATCACTTATTTTTATCCACTCCGAGTCCGTCGCCGCCACCACCGCGTCTTAGCGCGTTTGTGTGTGAGTGCAGATCTGCGCGTGTGTGTGTGTGTGTGTGTAACAGTACGCTTTTCGGCACCACACGCCGCCGCCGCTTAACACGGTAAATCGCGCGCCAACATACGGACCGTGCGTCGGTGCCAAAACGACATCGTCAACAACAACAACAACAACAACGACGACGACGACGACGACGACAACAACAATAGGAGCAACAACGACAAGGACGACCGCAACACGGACGGTAGCTTTTGCTTTTGAGCGCGCTGGCGCTGGCGCCAGGCATGTCGGCCAGCGGACGTCGTTGAACGGATCGGCAGACAGCCGTCACCGCTCGCGCACTTCCATTTGCGAGCACCTCCCCCCCGAAAGGTAAGCACCGAGCGGGGCCGCCGCCGCCCGCCGCCGCTTTTTCGATTTCCTATCTCCTTTGTCCCAGTCTCTCGTCCTCGCTTTTTCCCACCGATCGCCGGTGGTGGTCAATGCATGTTCTTCCAATGTTGAAGTCCGTTGGTCGGTCGCCTTCGATCGCGTGACCGTTCCTTTGGAACAATGAGAACCATGCTCGTACCTCCGCTGTGCGTGGGATTCGACCCCAGTTGGTAAATCCCAGTTGGTTACATGTGTCAGGTAGGTGTTCTATCGAATTGAAATCGCTACGCGAACAGCGTTGTTACATATTATCGTTCTTGTGGTTGTGAGCTCACCGATTGACTGACTCGTGTTCATTTTGATTAGTAACATTTTGTTATAAAGTACTCGATCAATGTATACAAGTATATTATTCGGTGCAGACATGATGTTTAAATATTCTTCGTTATAGGTAAATATTTGATAGGAGTGGATATTTTGTCCATTATATGACAATTATATTTTCATATCATTTAGAGCAATACAGGTAAATAAGTAAATGATAAACAAAGAGATATAAAATAGGTGTTATGCGGAAAAAATGCGATTGAGTTTTAAAATCCGATTATGTAGGCAGAATTTCTAAGTACCTACCTATAAATAATTCAAAATGTATTTTTTGAAGTGATTGTTGAATAATGAAAATTTAACTGTTTAACTGTTAGCTTTTTTCTCACTAGATGATGGTACCTATTTTCAATTCGGTTTTAATTTATTTATTATTCATTTATTGTAGTATTGTACACATAATACAATCATATATCTGGGTTAATTTAATTTAATGCAAATAAATGCAATAATATGTTAATAAAATGTCATTCAAATATTTTGGCATAGTACTTTAGAATTGTACAATTAACCTTGTTTTAATTGTTTTTAAATCTGCTCTTCGCCTTGTCCACGCGATGTATTTGAGTTAATGCTACATAAATGAATAAGTACCAACACTGTTACCACTAAGATTATAATAATTTAATTATCTACTTAAGTATGACAATATATTTACTTCGTTAGTTTGTTAACTACTGTTTATTAAGTTGTACTTTGATTAGGTATATCATACATTATAACTACATTAGGTACCTATATCATTTATATAATTGTCATATTATAACTGACAGATATTAATCCTTTACTTAAATGCATTATATTTTATAATATACCTATAATATTTAATTTCTAAGTGCCTGCTAGTAGTTAAATGCAATGCTTTCAATCATCAGGTACTAGGTACCTATAATATAAAAAATAACAATATGTCCTTTCGCTTTTGATTTACGCTCTTCACAAGTAGGTATAACAATGTTTTTGAAAAATTAACATGGATATTACTATATTAAACTGTTGACCTAATTTATGATCAACAATCATCAATATTACCTATCTATTGTTTTAATTTTAACCAAAAAAAATAGATAAGATCTCTGTCAACATTAAATATTGACTGATATTTATCGTTTGGAACAACATTGTTGTACAAAATAAGTTATTGATTTTATAAGACGTGTACATTTACAATTCAGCTATTATTATTGTTGTATAATATTCATAACCTAGGTATACTTAATAATACACAACTTGAATGATTTTGATTGTCATAAAATATCCATTGATATAACTCAAAAGACAAATTGTTGTTATCCGACTCTTTGAAATATCTATCAAAACAGTTATTTAAATTTTATTGAACCTTTGTTAACTTTGTATTGTTTTAAACAATTAAGAAAAAAAAATTATATTCACGTGTGTACCTTATTAGGTATATCAAAAACAACTTATCAAATAAGTAATTAAAATGAAGAGAGTAATCATTGAGAACCAACCGTAGGTACTGATGAATAATATTTCATGCATAGTGCACTCTTACCTATACTGACAATGCCTATATTATATTTATTTTAGAACAAAAACTAATTAGGTACCAATATTTTTTCTATCAGTTACAGTCCTCAAAAAATTTAAATTAATAAAATTAATTTAATAAAGACATCATTATTGTTGTTATTGTATTGTTTGATTTTTAAAATAAGGCCAATGCATGCCTACATAAATAATAAACACTTGATTATAATTATTGTTATTATTTTTTATCTTAATATAATAATATATTCATAAAAATTTAGTGGGTAATTAATGTGTACTTTTTGTTTGTGCGTATTATAATATAAATACCTATATATTATACCTACAATGTTATAGCGTTGTTATCTATTGCATTGTACATATATATATATATTTATACATACACATAATTTAAACCATTATGACAGACATTATTTAAAATGTAGTATTGTACTGTACTTATATTATTTATTATTTTGGTTAGCTTCTGTATAACTTCTGTAATTTTAAAACTTTAGGTAGGTAGTAGGTAGGTACATGGAAAGCATTTTAACATGATTCAATTTATTTAATTAAACTGGTTTTCAGGGTGTCTCACTATGTTTGTCTTTTAACGATCTTAGAACAAATGACATGATTATTTTACCTAATACTTAATGAGAATCATCCAAGTATATTTACATACATTTGCCGTAAAAACAGCCATCCTGTGAATTCCTAGTATTCAAAATAAGTAATTTAATATCGTATTAAGGATACCAAAGACTTAAACTTATTTATAATTATAATATCACACCTACATACCTATTTAGTAGTATTTAGTACAATTTACTAATCATTTATTTGTCTGTAATTATTAGGTTATGTTTTAAATGCCTATTATGAAAATATAAAATTTGGAATATGTGGTGATAGTAATAACATTTTATCTAGATATATTGGTTATATTGATTTAATTTAATAGATTTCTAGTGTTCTAATAATTGTGTATCTATATTTCCCTCATTTTTTAAATTATAAATTATATAGGTAATTCAATTAAATATATTTACTAAAATATTTGTTTGTATTTTATAGCAAGCTGAATATAAGACGTGTGCTTAGGCACATTACAAAGTTAACAACAGGCGCAACAGTGGCTACCTCGGCAGCAAGCAAATGTTTACACCACAACACCAACAGCTGTCGCCTAATCGGGCGTCAATCAACATGCAGTCGCCACAAGCCAGTAACCTATCGAGAGGTATATTTCAGAGAGGCGGGTTTGCGACCAACCCCGGAGCAGACAGGCGAAATCATATGCCGGGTATCGCATCACTCATGCAAGAATGGTTTGTCACAAATCCTAGAAAAAAACAAATGAATATGTATTATAGTTTGACATGTATACATAATTTAATAAAGGAGTTCAACATCATTGGCGAATAACGCAATGAATAACTATGGTGGGTCAAGTTCTAGTAGCAGTCGATCTACGTCTGGCTACAACTTGTCCTCCCAGCATGGTTTTCATTCGGCATTTGGCAGCAACCATGTTGACAATGGCAATGCAGCACCTCCTATACTGGACCCGTCTGAGTTTCCTTCTCTCACCACTGGACGTATATCCGGCAGTGGGCAAGGAGACAATGTCGGTGTTCTACATTCCAGCACAATGCCTGCAGGAAAACCTTATGGTAAACATTCACCATTCAAATCATTTGATCAGCTGTTTAGTAGTGAGTTAAAATCGTTCTGTATTTGTGTGGTAACTTAGTGGTACAATTGTACAAACTATTAAGGAACACACAATCTTATTAGGCATTTTTTAATCATATTAATTGTGCGTTTCTATTATAGTGGGAATGGTGAAAGCGCCGACGTCCGAAACGAGCGAATTTACAATGAGTAGTAAAGACTTTCCAGCATTGCCTGGTACGCAACCTCTCAGTGTTACAACTACCTCGTCTACGACAACGGATCCAAACCAACAGTCCTCAACAACAACTTCTGGCTCGACGACTATTTCATTGGATCAGAATGGAATGCAATCGTCTACTGACCATCTGTCAGATCAGAGACTGAACAACCTGAATAGCCAATCGGACAATAATTCTCAAGAAAATGGAGACTCGGGAACCAAAAAAGGAGTGCAAACATCACCGGATGGTTTGTGTTACAAATTGATTATATGTTATTCCTCGACTTAATTTCAATTTTAATATAGGTAAAGTGACTAACATACCTGGTAGTATGGTACGTGATCAATTTGGTATTGTTGGTCTATTGACCTTCATCAGGGCAGCAGAATCGGATCCCAACTTGGTATCATTGGCTCTTGGACAAGACTTAACTGCGCTAGGGCTGAACTTAAACTCACCTGAAAACATTTACCCAACTTTTGCTGGCCCTTGGGCAGACGCACCATGTCGGCCGCAAGATGTTGAATTCCATGGACCTCCTGAGTACATTATTAATCATGGAATCAGGTAAAAATAAAATACAAAAACAATTATATTTTTTCAAAGTCTAATGTTGTATGTTTTACACTTTAGGGATAAGTTAGCGCAAGTCAAGTTGTCCAGGTATAAAGAAGACCTGTTGTTCTACCTCTTTTACACTAATTATGGTGATGCGATACAATTGGCAGCTGCTAATGAATTGTAAATACTTTTTTATACCATTCATTCCTTACAAAGTAATATTAACATACAATTTAAATTGCATCAGGTACTCTCGAGACTGGCGTTATCACATGGAAGAGCGCGTATGGATTACGCAAGCGCCTGGATTGAGTTTAATAGAGAAAACTAGTACATATGAACGGGGCACGTATTATGTGTTTGATGCGCTCACGTGGCGCAAAGTGCCCAAGGAATTTCTGTTGGAGTACAGCAAGTTGGAAGGTCGACCCACCGTACCAAATGTGCCGCTCACCACCCCTAATCTACTCTGACACAACGAGCACCGTCGGGGCGTAGACGCACTGCCAACAGCGACCGAACCTGACGTACACCAGCCCACGACGGTCGTTCTCAATGCAGCCATCGTCAACTCCTAAAAACCCCTTCTCACTCCCAGTACCCCAAGTATATATGAAATACCTACAGAACAATACTTTCTGCCCCCCTCCCCCACAATACACTCCTATGAATTGAAATAAAAATTATACAAGTATTTATAATAACCGATAGATTTGCTGTCATTTTTTCTGGTGAATACACTCACACCATAATAATTTAACATTTATTATAAATAAAACAAAGTTATTTATAGTCATTTTATAAAAGAAACTTACGTACAATTTTGTAAAGACAAAATAAGCAAAGATAAAAAAAAAAAAATCATTCTTCATTTATTAAGATTATGTTATTTGTTTTTAAGTTGATAAAAAAATTTTGAAACAATAAATAATTGTTTTTATGATTTTCCCTTTTCCGAAACTATTGACTGGCTTAAAAGAAAATAATACATACTCAGGACCAATTCAAACAGTATTAAAAAGTCAAGTGTTAAGTATAATATGAGTATTTCATTAACAAAGAATTAAACAGCAGAAATAAATGGAGAAAAAATAATTAAAACAAATCTGCAGTTACATATTGTTAAAAAATTTTATTTCTCAGTTTTATAAGAGTTCAGGCAAATATTTCCTGATGACGCCGTCTCTGCATGCAGTGTACAAAAACCTTGTATCTGTACTGACATCGTAGATTGGTTCAGCATTGGTGCCAGTCAGGTATGCTTTTTTGTTGTTAACCGACCGCATTACGCACGAACCATCGCCATGTCCGCAAACCACTAGTTCTTTAAACAAACAGAGACAACGGACTGGCGAATTGGTGTCAAATATGCAGTGTTTAATAACTAATTGTTCGTCTAGCCAAATAACACGTCCGTCATTGCAACCAACATAAATTTGTGAGCCTTCGTTCAAATGACAAGCATTCACTGGGCAGTCTAAGTTGTTTGTAGCAAGTATCTTACGTGCATACACTCCGATCAACGAAAGCATTCCATTTTCACAGCCAATTAACAGACATTTATCATTTGTGCCGATTTCTAGGTCAGCTGCAATAATAAATATACAAAATTGTATTTTAAAAATCACCTCAATTTGTCAATCATCTATTTAATATATATTGATCTAAAAATCAACTTTGTAAACAATGAAGACATTTTCATTAATGAAATTCTTTGACATTTATATTTATTGTGTATACTCTAACAGTCGTGCTCTAAGTGGAAAATTGTTTAAACTAGAACACTGACCAATTTTTAAGGTAGGGGTCAGTTTGAATGGGCGTTGATTTCTTTTTTATTTGTATGTTGCTAAAAAAAATTCAAAATATAGAATTTATGCGTTTTTAAATAATATATTTTACTAGCTCAATATTGATGAAATTGTCAGTCCACTTCGATCATTGATAAAATATATGAAAAAATGTTTACAAAACTGGAAACCTCTACTATTTATTAATTTTTATCAACATTGTCAATTCTTTGTGCTAGGTACTTTAACTACTTCAATATAACTACTATGCATATTGCATATTAACTATTTGAAATATTTAATGTTGCACTTATAAGTTTTAGTATAATATACATTAATTATTCTACTTACAAGCAGGTATATTTCGTTCTCCCAGATTTAAATTTTTAGGTGAACTTATTGAACAACAATTTATGTATGTTGTTGGATTTGACTTAATGAGATCGTCTATTACTTTTCCGCTACCAACATGCCATAATTTTGATGTTCCATCTCTAATAAAAAAAAAAAAAAATGATCACTTAATTGTTACCGATTTTAATAATATTTTTAAATACTTTGAAACAGATATTATATTTCGTCCTCTGTCTATAATAGCTAAATCAGTAACAGCTTTTGTATGCCCCACTAGTGTTCCAGCGCATTCTCCAGTATCAGAGCTCCAAATTTTGATCCGTAAATCGGCTCCACTACTTAATACAACCTTTACACTAGGAAACCAACGACAACAATAAATGTCACCATAATGTCCAGTCATTGTAACCTATAATCACAAATTAATAACAATTAACAATGCTACGATATTAGGAAAACGTCTAACAATAATATAATCATTTTGTTCACAACATTTTTTGCTCAGATTATTTTTACCATTTACCCAATACAAGACACCCACGTTTTTTTAGAAATTAAATAAGTTAATGTAGCCTTACTTCTTTTTCTTTTTCGTGATCTAAGCTACTCCAAGACTTCAAAACACTATCTGAGGCAGACACACACTGGCCACCGACTACATCCAATGATGTCACCTATAGTAAAACTAATGGTTTTAGTGTAAAATCTTTTATTAGAAGTAAGTACATTATACTTACGCTAGCATTATGGACATCTTTGAAAACTCTGTACGGTGATAATAATGTGACCGATGGACATGACAAATGCTTTACTTGAATGGCATGTGACGATACCGATTCAACTTCAAACCCATTCGACCCTTGTATAATAGGTATTCCATTGAGCTTGTGCGATTTGCATTGCAAATGACCATGTACACTGGGACCATCTTAAAAGTTACATAAAACATTTAATGCTATATTTGTATATTATTTTTCTTAACAAAAGTATGATTGGGAGCCAGAGGTATAGAATAAAATATAATTTATGGTGTAAAATGCAATAAATAAGTATTATTATTTACTTCTCGGCTTGACAGATATCCAAACACGGTTTTCGACAGATCTAATAACAACAAAAACATAACCAATTACCAAAGGTATTACAGACATATTATTTTGAAATAACAAATTTACCTGATGCATTCATCCCAATCATGTTGAATATACATGGAGTACTCATTCATAATTGAGCAACGTCTTGAAAAATGTCTGTAATAAAAATATTATTTTGAGTTTATAATTGATTTTTGCAACACCAAACCAGTGGAGTAGGTATATAGAAATAATTATCGGGGTGAGCTATAGTAGATAGAAACTAGCAAGTGATCTATTACTTAGAGCAGTGATTTTCAAACTGGGTGCCGCAAGCATTCACTGAGTGTGTCACGGTCTTTCGGAAAGTTCAACTATTCGTGCAAGAATAAAATAAAAAATATAATTAATAAAAAAATGTTAGTCCATCAAGCACACATTTCTAATAAAATGTACTTATATAATTATAATTCAAAACAATTTTGTTCATCTAATTATTTAGTGCAAAACAAAAGTCACTGTGCCGTGAACATTTTTTGTGAAGCATGGTGTGTCGTATTTAATAAAGGTTTGAAAACCACTGACTTAGAGGCTACTGTCTACTATATATTTAACAGTTTCTATATATTCGTATTTGTTATTTTTCAACAAGCTATAAAATATTATAACTTACAATGGTACCTAATAAAATATAGGTATTGTTGTTCTATTTAAAAAGACTGTAATTTCGGGGAGGGGGGCTGCAGCCCACTGTGCCCACCCATAAATATATACGCTACTGCACCAAACTCACAGTTGCTGTGAAAAAGAAATGAAAATTATTTTAATACCAGATAGGTTTCATACTATAAAATAGTATACACAATTAAAATTAATCGGTTCAGACAGTCAAAAGTAATAATATTATTAATATTTATTTCAATAATCGCAACAAAAATTAAAGATTTCTTCCAATGAGCAAAAAGAAAACAAATGTTAACAAAAACTGATTATTAAACCTCAACACAAAAATTATTTACTTCAACGTCCAAAACAGTTGTAGTCAAATTTTCAACTTAGCCTTATACAATATTTGTAACTACCTACCTACCTAGTGTATTGCTTAATTAATTTTTTTATTACAATATAATTTGTATAAAATAGGTACTCCGGTGCTCTCAAAACTCGATTTATTATAGTTCAGGAAATATTACCTTAAGAATGATGACTCGGACAGTGATTTTAGAGTCGACTCAATTTCTCAAATATTTATATCAGATTTGAGTAACGGGTAGTCTATATTTAAGAACTTTCTGAAAAAATAAACAAAATAACAAAAAACTAATAACTATTAACTCAAATAAGTAATAACAATAATTGTTAATTTCCGTTTAAAAATTGATATTTTTATCAATTTTTTATGTTGTTGTTATGACTGTCGTTAAAATGGTTAAAATGTTAACCGCATTTCAGTTTTCACTGATAACTGATAAGGAAATTATAATTCACCAGTTTTCCAATTTCCATGTGTTATTTTTATTTACTCATTACGATATTTTAATATTTTATTATTTTTATTGACAAATGACAATACTATATTGTATATAATGTATTATTCATGGTTCATAATTATTAATTAACTTAGCAAGGAAGAACTGGTAAATTTAGTATATTATCTATGCTAAGGACTATTGTGGCGGATTGTAAAGATTAAATGTCAAATGTAACATTATGGCTTCTAATGAATATGAATTAAGGGACGTGACGTCGTACCTGAATGTGTTATTTTCGTCTTACTAATGCATAATAGTAACAATAATATTTTATTCATTAGCCAACAAGCAATATCTACAAAGTTTAATAATAATAAACAAATTTCTGACGTATCACTTCCAAACCCAAAGTCTGAGCTGGAGGAGAGAGTTCATACAAGTACAATATACTTAAATACCTAATACTTAATATACAATAGTACTTACATAATATAATATCAAAAGCAAAAATATCCAGCAGTTCCAATTTTGTATTGTTAGCTGAAATGGCATAAATCTAGTTTAGGGGCCAAGCGATTTTTTCAATTTTTTTTATCGAAACTTATGTATCTCATCGAGTTAAGAACGATGGTGCAAACAGAATTTGTCGCTCTCATTTAGTTCCGAAGTTATGGCCTTCCAAAGTTTTCGATTTTACGTTTATACGCATGCGCGCAACACTACTATAATGACGCACGGAGAACCATTTTTGTTATTTTTTGGTACAAACGTATTCGGTATACCTTTTTTTTTGAAACTTATGTAGTTATGTATTATGTACTCTGTGACATACTTGAGGTGGTGTTGCATAGCAAGTCGGGGGATATTTTCGATTTGCGGAGCGGAGCGACGGCGCCGAGGAGCGTAGCGACGAGTGCCGATACACGCGTAATGACTGCCCATATACTACGACATAACTTTTCCTGTAACCTACTTAAGGTGGTGTTAATGACTTACGCCTAATGACTTTGAATTGCCATAACTTTTGAACGGTAAGTTTCCGGAAATTTGTCCGAGCTCAGAGAAGCGAGCGAGTGGCCACGCTTGCAGATAATATACATCAATTATAATTTGAAAAATACGTAAGATTAGATAAAAATTATTAAGTGTTTATAACATTATATGTAGTAAAACCCATGTATTAATCGGGATACGTAGATAAAAGTTAGGTAAGTCTATACGCGCCTGCTGAAAGGTTAAAAAACAAAAATGGTCCTCCGCGCGTCATTATAGTAGTGTTGCGCGCATGCGTATAAACGTAAAATCGAAAACTTTGGAAGGCCATAACTTCGGAACTAAATGAGAGCGACAAATTCTGATTGCACCATCGTTCTTAACTCGATGAGATACATAAGTTTCGATAAAAAAAAAATGAAAAAATCGCTTGGCCCCTAAACTAGATTTGTTCCGCTGAAATATTTGAGTGACCTATTACCAAACTTAAAAGTAAAAACATTACATTATGTCTTTTTTCTCTTTGATTTTGTATGATATTTTAATTTTTAAGTGAATTATGAGCATTTTTAAATATTAATATTTTACATAGGTACTCATAACCCGCTTAAAAATTAAAAAATGGAAAAAAACCGAAGTGGGAACAATGATAGTGTTCTTACATTTAAGTTTCAAAATAGGTCAATTCACTCCAATATTTAAGCTAACAATACAAAATTGGAACTGTTAGAAGTCCATTTTGGTTTTGGTATATTATGCGTTACTAAAGCGGAGACAATATAATATGCGGATTAGGAATTAATGTCTTATAACTTTCTTACATGTTACACCAGTCGTAAAAAGTAATTTTGAATGGTTCAATATTATTTAGTTCCATGTAGATACATGCAAATTGCATTCTTGCTGAATAACAAAAATATTAAACACGTAATCAAAATTAACAACTTTTAACTCTTCCTTCTCTTAGGTAGTTATGTATACTATGAATTAAATTATTAATTTACCTGTTTAATTATTTAGTGAATGATATTATTTTGTTAAACATTGTAGTTAGGTCTTTTTATATATTTTGTACTTATATTATTCTTATATTTATATTTTCATTGTTTCAACAATAGTCATTAAAATGGTAAAATAAAAATGTATATTACTATGTTATAATATAAACTTTTTAAACTTAACTAGTTAATATGTCTGTAATATAAGTATCTGTAACAAAACAAAAACCAGATGGATATAATAAGTAGATGGAGTAAAAATATATTTCATAACAGTTGACTAATAAATTATTTAGACAAACAACAAACGACAAGGATAAATGGTTGAGCAATAATTAACTAAATTGTTTAAACATTTTAAACTTCAACAATAATTAAAGTTTACAAAAAGAACATTGGTTCTTAATAAACGGTTAATGAATTTTCAAACAACAGACTTAAATCTTCTTCTGATTGTTCTCTTGGAGCAAGCTTTGTAATTCTGTGCTGTGGTAATGTACCCTTCACTAACCCTGGTATGTCGTCTTTAGTATAACCAAGAGCCGACAAACCGTTATCAATTTTCATGTCTTGCATGTATCCACGAATGACATCGGCTAATAATTTCCCAGCATCAGCATTTTTAACACCACTGACATCAGCGCCCAGCAATTTGGCACCTTCAATGTGACGCTCTGGACTGGCCGGTGATGTGAACTCAAACACTGCTGGCCCAGACATAATGACACTTAATCCATGAGGAATAATTGGATGATCGGTAATGTAGTCAGTGGCTTGATATTGTTTTACATTTCCTGAGATTGGATATGACAGTGCATGACACAAATGGACACCTGCATTACCAAAACCTACACCGGCCATTGTAGAGGCTAAGTGCATGCTAGAACGTGCTTCAAAGTCTTCGGGGTCAAATACAGCTCTTTTGAAGTACTTCCTAATGACATCCAATGCATACCGAGCCCAAACATCTGAAATAGGATTGCGACCCTGGTATGCAGGTCTTAAAATTGGATTGGTTGGACGTGGAGACCTCTCATTGTATGGCACAGCTGTGAACGATTCTAAGGCATGACCAAATACATCAAAACCACTAAAAGCACAAACTCTTTCTGGCTGACATAATGCATGCAAGGGATCAACAATGCCTAAAGTAGGTCTTAATGCTCGATTTGCAATACCAGTTTTAGCCTTCAACTTTTCATAATCAAAAATACAAACACCAGTAGTCTCACTTCCAGTACCAGTGGTGGTCGGCACAGCAATCAACGGTTTTAATGGCACAGTGACTGGTTTTCCTTTTCCAATGGGTGGATTCACATAATCCAACAACTCAGCTTCTGGATCAGAATAGTACAAGTTGGCTGCCTTACATGTGTCCATGACAGAACCACCTCCTACCGCTATGAATGCATCAAACTCCAAATTACGCACAAAGTTTGTTGCGGCTTCAAGACTTTTCTCGTTAGGCTCCACTCGGATTTTATCATAAAGGTCATATTTTATACCGCTTTTGGTGAGCGAGTCCAGAACAGCCTTTACTGGCGGCAAGTTCACCAAGTTTGAATCGGTCATGACACACACGCGTTTAGCTTGCATATTAACCATGTCCATACCCAGCTCTTTGGTGACTCCAGGGCCGTACCGAATAGTAGAGCATGCCATTTCAAAAGCGTACTCCTTTTGATCCACACTAGTACTGAGCCTTGAAGGTAGAGATGCTAAATTTGAATGAGAGGGACATCTGCAGGATACTGAATTCAATGTATCCATTAGATTAATTACTCTGGACCTCATGATGGCGTTTCTAAAAAAAAAAAAGAAAAATGATTGAAAATAACATTACTATAAGAAGTAGATACCTACATGCAGCAGAACTGCATTTTTATATAACTTACTTTTAATCCTCACCGATACAAATTCTAACCAACTCCTAAATGGCACTCTTCAGTCTAAACGATTACTAAAATAAAAACGTGTATGGTGTACCTATTAAAAAAATAAAAAGATAATATTATACTCAGTAATCACTGATGTAAATTGTAAGATCTGAAATTGTGAAATCTGAATGTCGTTGAAGAGCAGGCTGCAGTCACGTTAAAAATGAAACAATTGATAACAATATCAATATCAATGGGTATCAACAGGTGTTGGCAATAGTTTAGTTTTTATTTTTATAAATGTAATAGGCATGTATTATATGTAATCACTAATCAAGTTGCTCTATCTACGTCAAACTACTCAGACGTTGTTATAAATTAATAAATTATGTATTATGTACTATAAAAAAAAAATGGTACCTATGGTATTTTACGAATTATCGGCATTAATAGTGATCGATCTATCGGGACAATTACAGAAAACATTTTCATTTTTAAAATAACATCTAATCTTAATAGTTATACGCCCTGGTTATGTAGTAGGTACATAAAAGTATAAAATCCTTAGTCCCAAATTAATAACAATCGGACGGTATTTTACTACATCATAATATGCATATGAACTACACTGTAGCCTGTAGTACTCTTATTGGACATTGACCTAATGGCTAATGCCGTTTATCATTTAATAATTTCCGATAGGATAACTCGTTCCGACATCGTTATTACTGCTAACATTATACTAATTAGGCACCTACTTACGTCAAGTGGAATAAAAACAAAAATTCTATGCTAGAATTGTTTTTATTGTTGATTTTTTAATATTATTTGCACTTTTGACTTTTCGTTTTAATCAGTATACGCTGATAAAATTAAAAACTAACAATACAATTATAATCCCTATACTAAACTAGTTATTACCTATTTTAGTTACAATACTTAACATCTAATAAATATAAACTATAATAGGGTAATATTGTATTTGCCATTATATATTTATATGCGAATCTCAGGGCAAAAACTAATGCTAGGTACCTACCTATTTAATATACAATTTGAGATTTCAGCGTACCTACCTGTATAATATAGTAATAAATTAATAATATAATGTAAATTATAAAATAATATATTGTAAATAAGTATAAATGATAGGTACATATTTTCGATTTAATATACATTATAGACGAATATTATTCAACTAATTATAAATAGGTAGGTATTTTAGTATTTAATTAAATTTAAAAAAAAATACTAATTTAACCTAACCTAGGAACACATTAAAAAAGTTGGCACGTACGACCTATATACAGCAAAAATATTTAAACACTATAGAGACCAATTATTGTCTTAAGGATAAAAACAATGAATTGGTGGGAATAAAAATGCAATATAGGTACCTCTGTTACCTAAATACTTATAGGCTCTGTAAGTAGGTATCATATTTTACCATAATTATTTTTTCCAACTATATTTTATAATCAAAAATACCTGTTTATTTCATTTGAAACTCGTGAATTATTCTTTATGTGTTGGTCTCTTCGTATTATAATATCGTTCTATGGTATATATTGGTATGTATCGAAATATACAATACTTATACCATTACGACAAACATATAATGTATAATGGATGGGGCTAAAAACTCGTTTACGCATGCGGCTAAGACAATAAGACACCTAGAAAAAAACCAAACCTTTAAAATACGTACAAGGTACATAAAATATATTATTTTAATTTATAATAGATAGGTACTTGAGAGTACGGGGTACCTGCATGGCTGCAGCATGACTGCATGGCATATTCATTGTATTTCAAAAGGATCTGAAGTACAATTACGTGACAACTAGAAAAAAGTCTCTCGACACATTTTGCGAGTCTTCCCAGACGTGTCCCTATAAGTATACATAATATAATTATGTAAAGCTGTATATAGGTAACTATATATAGTTTCCAATTTTATTATTCATAAATGCTAGTGACACGGCTAAAACAATTTTTTAAATATAATATTATATAGGTTAACTAAGGTGCGTTCACAATTTTTTTTTTTTTGGGGGGGGGTGGGGTGCGGAGTAGGTTATGTATTTTCCACTTTTAATCTACAAAAAACATATTTAATAATTTACCTGAAATTTCGGGGAGGAGGTTGAACCCCCAAATCCCCCTTTTGTATGTGCCTGTAACCAATACCCATATTTTATAGTGTTTGAAAAACAAACCAAGCACTGCACATATTATGTTTAACGGTTTGCGTTTCAAAATTATAGATGCACCTACATAAGTTTCCTTCATGAAGACTAACCTGTCGGTTCGTAAATCAAATTTGGATAATCCTATTGTTGAATACATGTAACATGTTTGAGAATCTTTGTGGGGGACTGGGAAGGACATCGAATATAGGAAGAGACTCCAGCAGTCCAGCATATATGTAAAATGTACTATTATAATGTACCTTTCGGATATAATATCATAGTCGATTTAATATTTATATTGAATTGTTCACTCTATAATGATAATAGGCATACTCATGTACATAGGTCAGTATGACAGTATATAGATCCAGGGCTCCTGCTAAATGTTAGCACTTAGCAGTAATATATTGTTAATTGACTATTTTATTGAGAATAATTTTATATTTTCGTTAAAGCACTGTAATAACGATAATAAAGAATTTTATATTTTAACGTAAAAATGACGAGTGTCCAGATCTATATTAAAAAAAATTTGTTCATCCCTAGAAATTTCTTAAAAAAATTTAAATATATCTTTGAACAAATAAAAATTTGAATTGTACCAATGTGCTTAACTCGTTGAAATAAACCTAATGGTTTCCGAAAAAAATCCCAAAAATCGAGCTAAACTGCGTTATTTCAATATATTTGTGCAATATTGCAATAGTGATTAGTGTTTATTACGAGGTAGGTACTTAATATTATTATATATAATATTAGTTACAGCTACTATATAGAATATACCCACTGCGGAATAAGATCATGACTGGTCGAGCAGTCAAAACAAGTAACAACTTCCTCTTGTCTTTGCGAAAACTTCTAGGGGTTTCGGGGAACCAATCAAAAACCGGCTGTGCTAAACGAACGCAAAACGGTCCGCCGCGCAGTCATGGTCTTATTCCACGGAGTGGATATTATAGGGAATTTGAGTTTTTATTTTTATAAAATATACTATATTAGTACAATATAGAACCTATAAATAATAATATTTATATAATTAGAATAAATGCTTTGGTAGTTTAAAAAAAAAAGTCAATGGGGCATACGGCACCCAAACCCTGTTATTTACGCCACTGGCACGCTGTAGGCACTATAATAATAATAATAATTATAATATTTATTGTTACCAAATTCAAATTAATGTACAAAACATCTTATAAGCAATAATTAATTAATTTTTGGTTCTCTTTTCAAAAGCAAAGCTAATATAATATATCATTAACCACCCAATGACTCAAATAAATAAAACAATTTATAATTATAAATTATAACTTATAACCCAATATATTATGTATACATGTGTTCATATTTATATTTATGTTTTTGTCGGTGGGTTTTTTTTCCGCGGTGTATTTATTTTTTTGGGATTTTTTTTTCCTACCATTATAATTTATAAACTATAAACTATCGAGACCACGAGCTAATATAATATGGTGGGATATAATAATTATTATTAATTTGATCTCTGTACGTTTTAATAGTTAGTAATTTTTTTTTACTACTGAGTATAGCTTTTAGAGTTAAATGTATAATAATGTATTACCAATATATAATTATAATTTAAAATAGCATATAGGTACGAAATTCAAAAACGATTATTTCATATTTCGTATGAAATAATATAATAACGTTTTCGAGGAGTAGGTACAAATCGTCAATCAATAATGACAAACCATGCAATTTAATATTATAGTCTGTGCATATTGGCTACAGATTATTTCTATTGATAATTTAAAGTGCAATATATTACCCCCGATATACATTTGTTCGAATTAAGTGATTTAAATTCGTATTAATCATAACCGTTAATTGTGGTTCTGACTTCTAACGTACTATAGCCTATAGGTATACCTCCCTATATGGTTATATAATATTAATACACTACATCTAGTATCTAGTCTCTACATATATGTAATTAATAATGATACATGGGTAGGTATATTATGAAGTATAGTGTATACCCTCTCAAACATATAGGTAGGTAGTAGGTACCTATAATACAGTAATACCTGACTATAATGGCTATACTAATTAATAATTACTAAAGCAACTTTAGTCACTATACCAACATAATATACCTAAAACCTACACCTACATCATGTTACATATACTATATATTAATCATGTTGATTAATGATTATAAAATATATCTAATAAGTATGTATAATCAATGATGACGATAATAAATTACCTAGGTATGTAATATAAATGTAATAACTTATTAGGTACTATTTATTATTATTATTATTATATATGTATGCAATATGCGTATCCGACTTAGGTATATCGTATATAGACTGATAGGTACATGGCCTATATATAAATGAATTATGTTTATAATTATTTCAAACTAGTTTTTTTTTACATTGGGCTGTAAATTGTAATAATATTATTATAACATTTATAACACATATTCACACCTGTATTATACACATTAAATTGTATAGGAAATAGGGATATATATTATGGTTGTTACACGCTAATACGCTATGGCTATAAAATACAAATAATATTATACTCAATTTCGACTTTCTACTTAAATTTACCCTTTTTCGGAGGTGTATATATTATATACTATATATAAGTTATTCCAGTGCTCGAACTGTGAAAAATTAAGTAGAGGAGCTCAATCCAAGGACTTAAAAACTGCGTTCCAAAAGCGCAATTACTCAACACAGACCCTTAG